CAACCCAGCCCCCAGCCCCCAGCCCTTCCGTCTTGCCGTCTGCCGCGCCGGGAGCCACGCAGGGCATCCACCTTGCCATTTAGCACCTCCGCCGCGCAATGGTGTGCGGTTTCCCAAAGCGCTTGTCCCCGCAGCTACTCGCGCTCGCCTCGCCGCTTGCAGGGGCACAAGTCAATGAGGCTTTTCCCTCCGCGATCATCGTGAATCAGCAAAGCGCTGCAGAGCGGCGTCTCCGCGAGCAGAAATTAAGATGCTGGGGGAAGGGCATAAGAGGAGTGTGGCAGGGGAATTTCTAGCCCCTTCCAATGTGTCGCTCCCAGGGATGGCAATATTGGGGGGTGGGGTGTTAGCTGGAAGCTGCTGGACTTAGGCGTCCTGGGGAGTCTCTGGAAATAGGGAGCGGGATGGGGAATAGCGAGGATGAGCAGAGAAAGTGGAGGAGAAATGGGTGGAAGGACCTAGGAAGCTCAGGCAGAGCAGGGCGCATGAGCCCCCCGGGGTGGGCATCCTAGCAGTTGTGGGTGTTGCTGAGCTTATGGAGTGAGAGGGAAGGGAGGAGAGGATCAAATAAAAGAGGATTTTCCCTCCCGCCACTTCCTGTTACCAACGTGCAAGTTCCCAAGTTCTGTTCGAGAAGTGGAGGGCCACTTGGCGTTGGGGAGTCCGAGATGGGAACACTAGGGACATGCCTCCCTAAGTCGCGTTCTCCCACCCATTCCTCTCTCTCTCTCTTTTTGCCTCTGCCTCTCTCCTCCTCCTCCTGTCCCTATTCCGTCTTCCTTCAGCTTTGATTAATATGCATGTCAATGCTCAGTAGTGTGGGCCACCGCCTCGCGTTCCACCTTTGGCACCGGGAGGCCTAGAAGGAGCGACCAGAGGCTTGGGATGGGATGGGGAGGCCGAACGCTCAGAGAGCGAAGCAAGAAATCCCCTCATCGGGCCCTGGTCCCCACCCCCCTGGCCGGACAGAGAGCCTCAGTGATCCAGACTCCGAGATCCGGCTCTGTCTGCGTTGCAGTGGACTGACCCAAGGGCTTGGAGCGCGCGATGAAACGCGCTAAATTGTACCTGTGCGTGGCCGTTCCCGCCGCCGCCGCAGGTCTATCCCGGGCCCGAAGCCGGCGCCCGCCTTCTCGGGGAATTCTTGACGACAGAGGGAGGAGGAGGAGGAGGAGGAGAAGGAGGGGGAGGCAGGGCTGAGAGTCGGGCGCCCCGAAGCCCTGGCAACGGACGGTTCCACCGACTGACCGTCATTATCAGCACTTTTATTACTGGGAAACTGGGTAGGGAGGTTGGGGACGTGCAGCAGAACTGTCCAGCCCCAATCCACTCTGGAGCGACCCTGAATTAGGGCAAGAGAGAAAGATTCTCCACGGACACCTTTTTGGGTGGACGTGCTCCAGATGCACACCCGGACCCCGTGGTCCCACTGAAGCTGCAGTGTTGGGGGTATTTTAAATGGTTCTTACTTGGGAGGAGGCGTGATTTCCACGTTCGAGCGTCTTCGCTCCCCACCCCCTCTCAGCACCAGCCAGTGCGCGCCACCACCTGAGCCTGGAGAGAGCCAGGGCGCACGCAGTCTTCAGCCTGCTCCTTTCCGCCTCTGGGGAGACTCGGCTCTGAGCGGGTCCGCCCGACGCCCCCCAGGGACAACTCTTTACTTTTTGTTTGGAAAATCGGGGCCATTTCTTTATTTATCTGTGGGTCTCCCAGGAGGAGAGTAGGGGAGGGGAGGGCGAGCGCGGCGGACCAGGCCGGGGGAGGGGAGCGCTGAGAGGGGAGGGAACTGGGTGTAGCCTGGAATTCTCCGTCCTCGTGTTC